GGGAAGAAATACTTGAAAATAAATTATAGAGACCCGAAACACCAACTAATAAACGGAAAGAAGCGTGCAAGTGTATTATCAATCAAGCAAACAAAAGATTTAACAAATAAGCGCTTTACATAGAAGATTCAACTGCATTAATTCCTGTAAAAAAACCTAAAGACAAAAGGCCAACATCCAAGACCCACACAATTTGCTACGTCTGAGGTGGGTTAATGCCAAAGAATTATTTTAAGCATCACCGTGATTTTTGCATAAAAAGAACGTCACTTGTGGGTGATAAAAATCAAGACTCGCCCAAAAACACTTTTTATGCAAACCTTTGGATGCCAAGTTCTTAATACGTACTGCAAAAAAGATCCTAATTAACATATATCATGCCAGAATTAATGAAGTAGTCGTGTCCGACCCATTGATATTGGAATGATTTTTGAATTTTGGAAGAACTCTCTGAAATGAAAAGAAGTAAATCAAAACACAAACAGTTCATGGCATTGATGAATAGTGATTGCAGTGTAAATGCATTTTACTGTATTTATACAAATAGTATAAATAGTACAGTAATGATATTGTTTCTTTACTATGATACTTGTTTTTATTTATGTATTATATTTTATTATTTATTGTTTTATTTATTATGATAATTGTTGACACCAGTTGTTTTCATTATAAACTGATATTGAAGTGCTTCACACTCTTCACTGGGCAACACTACAGAATCGCAGGCTGCAGCGCTGTCTGACATGCAGCGCAGTAAGCATAGACTCAGCTCGAAATTCCAAAATATGTCTGTTTTGTAGTGGGTGAGTAGAGTAAACCATAAGCCTCATGAAATAGTTCTAAATTTTACATTCTTGTATTACTGTTAGTATTGTTATTTGGTGTAAAAGATTATTGGAGACATTTTCCATCTCGGATTCTGAAAGCAAGGAACATTTAACATTTTGAAAGCTCATTTGATGTTGTGCTCGAATATTATCAGAGCTTCAAATAACGACAGGCAACACAAATTAGGGTGTCTAGTAGTCGGGAAAATCGGGAAAGTCGGGAATTAGTATTGAATTTCAAAACGGTCTTGAAAAGTCGGTATTTAGTCTTAAATTTGAATTCAAAGTCGGGAATTTCCATGATTTTGCCGTGATCGTCGTCTAGCGCTTACGTAATATGAAATAAATTAGTTTATTTCTTAGTATGGTTCTGTTATAATTTTTACAAAATGTAATAGCTTGAAACTTAAAATAAAAGAATTTAGGGAAGATTTTATGAACCTTGAAGAGGCATATCTCTCAGTGTGTTATGCCATTTTGGTCTTAAATTGTGAGTAATTTAATGTAGTTTTAAAGTAATTATGGTCGTTTTTATGAATAATAATTAGAAAGTTATGCTTTAGGGTTGACGCAACGGTTAACGTTTGCCAAACTAAAAAAGATCAAAACGTTGTAATTTTAGCCGTTGTTTGCGGAGTCATATCTTGAAAACTATTAGGCCTGTAATAATCATTTTGGTCTTAAATGATAGGTAATGTAATGTAATTTAAAAATGGTCATGGTTGTTCTGTATGAAAAAGTGATGCTTCAGGGTCAAAATCGGACAAACGTAAAAATAATGCGAAATTCCACCGAATTTTAAGCTTTTTGGAGGTGATTCGGAAGGTCGCCGAGGTCTAAAATTTGGATTTAGCAACTCGGTACTATTACAAACAACATAAAAAAACCTACTACCCCATTTCATGCAAGGTAAAATGTGTTAGGTTACTGGGTTAAATGATGCATCTTCCCAGTTTTCTATGATACTTGTTGACACCAGTTGTTTTCATTATAAACTGATATTGAAGTGCTTCACACTCTTAACTGGGCAACTTGGCCATTAGGTGGATCATATTTAATCCAAACGCATCCAGTTCACTGCTCACTTCTTGTTATTTTTTTTTTATTTTGAAAACTGAGTTTATTAATAAACTTTGCCTATTAGACACAGTAAAAAAAAACTTAAATTTACGATATAAATAACATGTAACATAGATTAATAACGTTGTCCATATAAATGATTTTGAATGATTTTACATGATTCTTTTCGCACTTTTATGACTATTTCATTTTTTAATTTTGATGGAAGATTATATTTTTTTAAAAATTCGTCAAAAAATTTTGTAATAGTCCCTCTTGCACCAATCATTATGCCAATTACTGATATTGAATTTAGATTATATTTGTTTCTTAAATAAGTTTCACATTTACTATAAATTTTCCTCTTTTCTTCATCTACTTCTAGGGGTTGGTTTGATGATGTTTCGAACCTTATTGTTGGATCAATTACAATTCCACTTTTAGATTTTGTATCATAAATTAAAATGTCCAATCTTCTGTTCGATCCACCATCTTCAGTGCAATGTATTTCTTCTACTACTTGCCAGCCTTTTTTTCGTAGTTCTTCTGCGATCATTGCTCTTACAGCATGGTGTCTTGCATTACGCAGTAAGGCACCAAAGGGACAAGAGCCAAGGACATGCGGAAGGGTTTCAGGCTCCTTGCAATGTCTGCAAAGGGTTCCATCCTGGCTTCGCCCTGGTACGCTGCGTACTGGTACAACACCAGATATCATTTTTAATGAAGTGATCCATTCTCCTGTAGTAAGGCCATTTTTTAAATAAATCCATGTGTTGCTACTAGGCACTTCTTTGAATAATTCTATTCCTCTACCTTTACATGGTAATTTAGACCAAAGTTCAAATTCTTTCAACTGTAATTTTGATCTCAAATTTAAACCAATTCTTTTTTTCTCTTTAAATTCAAAATCATGTGTAAAAATATCATCAATTTCTATTTGAAGTTTTTGAAGTGACATGGTAATTCTTTGGGGGATGTTTATTAGCTCGTTTACATGGCTATTTTGTACGTTTTTTAGAATTACACACATATTTATATGCTGTATAGAACTTTCCCATTTTGCTCGAATTATTCCAAGACCTTTGAACCTTTGAAGTTTCACATTTACTATAAATTTTCCTCTTTTCTTCATCTACTTCTAGGGGTTGGTTTGATGATGTTTCGAACCTTATTGTTGGATCAATTACAATTCCACTTTTAGATTTTGTATCATAAATTAAAATGTCCAATCTTCTGTTCGATCCACCATCTTCAGTGCAATGTAGTAGTCAGCACAGCGACTTGGCAGAAATTGACCTTGAGATGATCTAGGTGTACTCTCAGCTGGTTTAACTACAGCTGATTAGTTGACCACGTGACATTAGTTGACCACGTGACGTCAGTAGGTGTTTATATTAAATATTAAATAATGGATAAAAAGTGTTGGCCTGACCGGGTTTCGAACCCCGGTCTTTTTGTTGGTAGTTGGAGTCGTTACCATATGAGCCACAACAGTAGTTATGGGTATAGTGGTAAATGACACCTTATACAGGGTACCTATACACTTGTACCTTGCATATACAGGGTGTGTATTGGAGATTTGATTTTAACATGGAGGTTCACGGGTTCGAATCTAACCTATGTTAGAGGTTCACGGGTTCGAATCTAACCAACCACTAATGGTAACTGAGGTCTATGGGTTCAATCCTATCCTAGTAGGTCTGGAAAAAAACACATTATATAGTGTATAATGCTTAAACCTTACTGTTGATCATAATGGTAAATGTTGGAGGTTATTTTATATAGTGTATAGTGCTTAAACTTTACCGTTGAGCATGTTATGTTGATTTTATAATTTGTACATGTGTATCTCTGTAACTTACATATACAGGGTGTGTTAATATTGGTTGGAGGTTCACGGGTTCGAATCTAACCAATCACAAAACATGTTATTAGAGGTTCACGGGTTCAATGCCGGATGTAATCTTACCACAGCTGTTTATTTCAGCTGATCACTTGGTTTAGAGGTTCACGGGTTTAATCCTATCTCAGTAGGTTTTATAAAAAAACACTTTATATAGTGTATAATGCTTAAACCTTACTGTTGATCATAATTGGTAAATGTTGAAGGTTATTTTATAGTGTATAATAAATATAAATCAGCTGAAAGAGGGCTTAAGTGGAATTTTACCGTTGATCATAAAAGAATGTTAAATGTGTAGTAGTATTGGAGGTTATTCTATATATGCTATAGTGTGATGAAACAAATGATAATTGTATCTGATGTTAAAAACAGCTGAAAGAAGGCTTAAGTTTACCACTGAGTATAAAAATGGTCTTTGTAAAGGCTATTAAATATCATATGTCAAACTTACATCTAATCTATGCTAAACGAGTTACTTAGGTTGTTTTTTTTTGTATAGTGAGAGGTTCATAGGTTTGATCCTTAGTGGGTTATATGAATTTATGTATGTAACCACAAGTGAAACAGGTCTATTATACTAGAGTACTAGTGTTGATGCAGTAATAAATGTAAAAATATATAAGATTTACTATGTATTACTTGTACTATATGTATATCTTGTATAAATGTTTTAGTCTAAGTTGTCAAAGCTTTCTTTAATGTAGCAGTGATTCTTACTATCTTGGTTGATTACGTGACCTCAAACCAATGCTTTGTTAATTAGTAACAACTGATTATATGACATTGGAGCGACCTCTACAGTGTAGCTTGTTTGTGTAGTTCAACACTTGTGTAGTTCAATGTGAGATCAATGTTACAGCTTCTATTATGGGTAAGTGTTAGAAGTAACTATTTATTAAAACTATTACTATTTTGAAATTTGTATTATAATACAAATGTATTAACAATAAAGGGTTTTTGAGGTTAAATAAAAACAGTAGATTTTACTCAGAGAAATATATATTTAGCCTATCGGCTATAAATTTTCTGCAAAAGGGACATCTATATACCCTGTGCGCGCAATTAGGGCACAGGGTATGCCCACATGGTTGTAAAGCAACTGTGGGGGCATTCTCTAGGCAAATTTGACACGTTACCGAATTAATTGGGGGATTTGATGGTCGTGGAACTCGTTCTGATATCATAGTGTCTATTTGGCCGGTAGTCTGCCTCAATACACCTTCTAACGTGTTACGGAGGTCCTCCCATAGAGCTGATATAACTGCTGGCTGTAGTCCACAAGCATTTGAATAACCCTCTAATGTATTTCCGGCTAAGCTAGCTACAGCTAGGAGTTCGGTTCGTAGCGTAGCAATCCTACCAGCTGCAGCTGCAGGTAGGGTAAATTCCGGGTTATTCATAGCCTGAAAGATATTATACAAGAATTAATGTTTTTATCTATTTATATAAAATAGTATAAACCATAAATCAGCTGGTTAGTAAAATTTATTACAGTAGTATATAATAAATCTCTCTCAAGTTGGAGGTAAACAATAGTTAAATTTTGTGTGGAAAGTTTAGTGTAAACATATTAATTTATTTATACTTAATTTCTCTTTAAAGGATACCTACCCTTTGAATTAACCTCCTGCGAAAGGTTTCAAGGCGAGCGCTCTGCCGGCAGCTGCGACATTCACGTGTTTCAGGTATAGTTGAAGTAGAATTCTGAAAATAGAAACATATATATTAAGCTGATTTTTATTTACTTCAATATATAGTTGATTTATCATCAAGGTAATATTATATTTGGATCACTCATTTACTAGTTAATCTGTATCATATAAAACTGGGGTAGCTTTCTCTTCTAATTTAAATTTATTGTTGAAGGAATAAAAATAACTGAATAAACCTTTGTTATAAAAACATATACTACAGATTTATATAAACATTTGTAGATTTAATAATGTAGTGTTTAACTAATATTCTTTCTATAGATTTGTATAGGTGAAATATTTGTTTAAGTACTATATCAAGTCCCAATAAGTGGAAAATAATATGGTTTTATAAACCAGGTGTAGCCCACTGTTGGAATTTAAAACTTATTAGAACTAAAAATATATGTGTTGAAGTAACTTTGTGATTAGTTAACTAATGCAACTCTATTTAAGTGTAACAGTTTATTAGATTAATAGCTATAAAGATTAATAAGTTTGATAAATGTGGTGTTTTATTTTTAAATCTTTAAAAAAGAGATAAATAATAACAGAAAAAATCTAATAGCTGTAATTGTATCTCAACACTTTTATTTGTTGTATATATAAGAAATTTATCATTAGTAACTAAAGCAAGCTTAGGAAGCTAATATGTTTAGTAGAGTTAAAACCATTGAAGTAATTACTTAACTATATCAGCAAAAATAAAAAGTATGTTGAGTTGAATGATTTGATTTTGAGTTTGTTCTTACAGGCTATCAGTATTACACTTATATGTCTTGTAATGTTAAAATACTTATTACAGGTTGTATATGTTGGGGAGATTGTGATGGACCGGCTAATTCATCAGCTGTTGGCCGCTGTCTAGCAACATCAGCTGGAGTATTCACTGTTGAAGGTGTTTGGGATATAGCTGAAGTTGAAGGTATTGTAGGTCTAACGATATTACCTATATCGGAAGATGGCTATTGAAAACAAAATAAGTATTAGTAATAGCTTAGGTAGTAATTACTTGATTACATCAGTAAAAATAAAAAAATGTCGAGTTAATTAAATTGATTTTGTTAAAATACTATAATAATTTGTACTTGTTTATACAAGTATGTTTTATTAAACAGAACCTTACTGTTGAGCATAAAAGAATATTAAATATGTAGTAGTATTGGATGTTTATAATAAATGTGGAACAAACGATAATTTATCTATCTGATGTTAAAAACAGCTAAAAGAGGGCTTAACTTTATCATTAAAAGCTACTAAATATAGTAGGTTTGACTTGAAGGTGGTTGATAATTATCTAACTTCTTTGGTAATTATCTAACTACATTAGTAAAATAAAAAGTATGTTGAGTTGAATGATTTGATTTTGAGTTTGTTCTTACAGGCTATTAGTATAACACTTATATGTCTTGTAATGTTAAAATACTTACTACAGGTTGTACTCGTCTGGAAGGTTGGGATGGTCCAGCTAATTCATCAGCTGTTGCTGTCTGCTGTCTAGCAACACCAGCTGGGGTATTCACTGTTGAAGGTGTCTGGGATATAGCTGAAGTTGAAGGTATTGTAGGTCTAACGATATTACCTATATCGGAAGATGGCTATTGAAAACAAAATAAGTATTAGTAATAGCTTAGGTAGTAATTACTTGATTACATCAGTAAAAATAAAAAAATGTCGAGTTAATTAAATTGATTTTGTTAAAATACTATAATAATTTGTACTTGTTTATACAAGTATGTTTTATTAAACAGAACCTTACTGTTGAGCATAAAAGAATATTAAATATGTAGTAGTATTGGATGTTTATAATAAATGTGGAACAAACGATAATTTATCTATCTGATGTTAAAAACAGCTAAAAGAGGGCTTAACTTTATCATTAAAAGCTACTAAATATAGTAGGTTTGACTTGAAGGTGGTTGATAATTATCTAACTTCTTTGGTAATTATCTAACTACATTAGTAAAATAAAAAGAATGTTGAGTTGAATGATTTGATTTTGAGTTTGTTCTTACAGGCTATTAGTATTACACTTATATGTCTTGTAATGTTAAAATACTTACTACAGGTTGTACTCGTCTGGAAGGTTGGGATGGTCCAGCTAATTCATCAGCTGTTGCTGTCTGCTGTCTAGCAACACCAGCTGGGGTATTCACTGTTGAAGGTGTCTGGGATATAGCTGAAGTTGAAGGTATTGTAGGTCTAACGATATTACCTATATCGGAAGATGGCTATTGAAAACAAAATAAGTATTAGTAATAGCTTAGGTAGTAATTACTTGATTACATCAGTAAAAATAAAAAAATGTCGAGTTAATTAAATTGATTTTGTTAAAATACTATAATAATTTGTACTTGTTTATACAAGTATGTTTTATTAAACAGAACCTTACTGTTGAGCATAAAAGAATATTAAATATGTAGTAGTATTGGATGTTTATAATAAATGTGGAACAAACGATAATTTATCTATCTGATGTTAAAAACAGCTAAAAGAGGGCTTAACTTTATCATTAAAAGCTACTAAATATAGTAGGTTTGACTTGAAGGTGGTTGATAATTATCTAACTTCTTTGGTAATTATCTAACTACATTAGTAAAATAAAAAGTATGTTGAGTTGAATGATTTGATTTTGAGTTTGTTCTTACAGGCTATTAGTATTACACTTATATGTCTTGTAATGTTAAAATACTTACTACAGGTTGTACTCGTCTGGAAGGTTGGGATGGTCCAGCTAATTCATCAGCTGTTGCTGTCTGCTGTCTAGCAACACCAGCTGGGGTATTCACTGTTGAAGGTGTCTGGGATATAGCTGAAGTTGAAGGTATTGTAGGTCTAACGATATTACCTATATCGGAAGATGGCTATTGAAAACAAAATAAGTATTAGTAATAGCTTAGGTAGTAATTACTTGATTACATCAGTAAAAAAAAAAAAAATGTCGAGTTAATTAAATTGATTTTGTTAAAATACTATAATAATTTGTACTTGTTTCTACATGTATGTTTTATTAAACAGAACCTTACTGTTGAGCATAAAAGAATATTAAATATGTAGTAGTATTGGATGTTTATAATAAATGTGGAACAAACGATAATTTATCTATCTGATGTTAAAAACAGCTAAAAGAGGGCTTAACTTTATCATTAAAAGCTACTAAATATAGTAGGTTTGACTTGAAGGTGGTTGATAATTATCTAACTTCTTTGGTAATTATCTAACTACATCAGTAAAAATAAAAAAATGTCGAGTTAATTAAATTGATTTTGAGTTTGTTCTTACAGGCTATTAGTATTACACTTATATGTCTTGTAATGTTAAAATACTTACTACAGGTTGTACTCGTCTGGAAGGTTGGGATGGTCCAGCTAATTCAGCAGTCATTGCTCGCCGCATTGCAACATTAGCTCGTGTATTAGACGACGCCCTATCTACAGATAGCCAAATTCCATCGGTTGAGGATGCCTGGGCTACAGCTGAAGTTGAAGGTATTGAATGAGGTGTAATAGGAGGTACTACTAATGAGGGTCTAACAACAGAAACTATTGTTGGTGAGAGCTGTTGAAAATAAAATGAGTATTAGTAATAGGCGGGGTGTTATTAAAATAATATTAAATTGTTTAGGTAATGCTACCTACATGTTCTGATGAAAACATTCGTAGAAAACTTGAAGGTTCCAGTATTATCATATTTGTAATTTCTTCATGTGGAAATCCAGAAATAGGGATTGAAGCTGAAGGGATGTTTGTTAGGTCCCTCTCATAAAACACACCATCTCTCTGAAACAAATAGTTTAAAATGTAAATAGGTATAAGATTCTCTTAAACTATAAAAATCTTTTTGTCTCTATATAACTCACCATAAGAATTCGTAGAACACAGGTAACATCATTAATCCTTGAAGTTATATAATAATCCTCAACTAACAGCTCCTGCAAAGCTGTTGTATAAAGCTCGCTTACACACCTCTCAGCATAATCTTGGTCTACTTGCCGGAAGTTGGTGGGTATAGCAAGTCTAGCTATAACTTCTTCCTGAAACACAATCTTAGCTAAATAATGATATACAGTATAAACATATATAATATAAATTATATTTTAATATTGTTTTAAAAATATTTAAAATGTATTTTACCGAAAAAATGTGAAGAACTATCCCTCTTGTGTGTACGAACCAAAGGCCAAAGTTATTTGATCTGTTAATCTGAAACATAAAATGGTTATAATATAATCCTAGTAAATATTTGTTGTATTGTTTTTGCTTGTATATTTTTGGACTTTTTAAATACTTCTTTTAAAATATTTCTTACTGAGTCTCCACGGGGTAAAAGCACTCGTTCTGTATTTAGCCGCCTACGTCTAGTGGGTGGTGGTGAAGAACTCTCAGATATCTGTAAAAATAAAGCTTATTAAAAATAGAATAATAATAACTAACTGTTAGTTTAACTATTATTGAAATCAACTCATCTGTTGGTTGCTAGACTTTTTTAAAATTACAACCTTAAACTAAAATTAAAGTTTTAATATTTTTTATCATAAAACTCTGTTACATACCTAGGATTATTTAATATCTAAGATATGTATTATATAAGGAAAACTATAACTTACATTATTTATAGCTCTTCTTTGTTCATTTTGTCTACTCTGTAAATAGAAGGAAATAATATTATTACCCTATTTGAACTAGTATTATTATATAACTCTAAAAGAATTTTTTGTCAAAACATTTTGTTGGTTAGGAATATCTGTGTAGTCTAAATATATACACCTGTGTGTTTAATCATGCTTAACATTATATGTTGTAGCTTTCTGAAATTATAAGGCTCTCTTATAAATAAAAATTAAATCACAAACTATGATCAAGTATATATATATATAGTATAGTTGAGATAAATAGAACTTGTTTGAAATGTAGAACTTTGTGATTGGTTTGTAATAGAAAAAAAGCTATTAAAATAAGTAGAATTTAAAATCTTGTTTAACAAACTCTAACTAATTCTAATCTATAAATATACTTACAGCTGATCTTAGAATATCACGATCATCTTGAAAGAAGGAATCTCTTGAACTCTGACTTGGTGGAACTACAGATCCAGGGCTTGAAGGTGGTGAATCTATGATGCTTAAATTTGGGCTTGATGGTGAACTAGCTGGTGAGTTGTTTTGTATAGGAGTTACTAAATAGTTATAGATGTGATCATTTATGTGTATCCAGTTTGTATTAGCTGTAAAACGCCTTGTTGTTGTTTGCCAAGCCCAAATAGGGTTGTCTTGAAGTGTATACATTCTGATCAATTGCCAATTATATCCATCAATGTTTTCATGTATGATAACTATACAATTAGAGGGACCTGCTCCTTGTATTTGTATTTCATGTATTAGTTGTTGCGCCGTTTGCTAAAAAACAAATAATTAAATTATATAGCTGATTAAAATATAAACAATAATCTAGAAACTTTTAAAACAGCTAGAGCAGAGCCTAAGAGTATAAGACTAGTTTGCAACATATTATTTATATAGATTATAAATATGTTTGTTGCTTAAATTATAAATACTAATAACTTTTAAAGAGTTAACTTAATCACCTCACTATAGTCATCAAAACTAAAAACAAATTCTTAAAGCTCTTGTGTAATTGATTACTGTGTAAAATCTGTCTAAATAAAAGGTTTAGTAAAATATATTTGATTTAGAGTAAAGTTTAAGATATGAGAGGTGACAAAAATACTTAATCTTGATATATTGTAAAAATCTAATTATATATATTCAAGTTATATAGCTTACCCAGGTAATTGGATAAAAGTTGCTTAATACATGTGGCGGGGAGCGAGGCGGTAAAAGCGGGTTAGCTTCTAAAATGAGAAGATGGCCAAGATCGTTTTGAAAAAAACTATCTGTCTCCATAGCAACAAATGGCTGAAAACATAAGTAGAATTAAAAACCTAAGAAGTTGAATTAAACACTTAGATAAGTAGAAGTTTATCTATATAAAGCTTCTACTTACAACAAGAACAGAAGATTCAGCCTCTCTTAACATATCTCTTAAGTGTGAGTTAAGGACAATCCTTTTTGATATAGGTGCTTGCCGAACATTAGGTCTTGCAAGCAGTTGACGTTCTTCATTAAGAGTTATAGGTGCACCATTTCTCTATAAAAAACATATTATGATTAATAAAAAATACTTTTTAAAAGAGACAGATTATCTATATAAATAAAATTAGAGTTTTGTCTGTATATCGGATAAAATTATAAACTTTTTATCTTTTGGTTTTTTGATTTCTGATAACTAGGAAAAAGACTTTGAAATAGTGTTGTATATAGGTGGGAAATTAAATTTTTAAATAAGCATTTTTAGTCAAGATTTAGTATATAATTGATAGATAAAACTGATAGTAAAAATAAAAGTAGGCCTATTATGTTTTATTTGTCACCACTGGTGGTTTAATTTTGTTAAAGTGCATCTCATGTGATAGGATATATTAGGGTTAACTAGTAGATACAGATAATTAATCCTTTTATTGATTATTATATTGGTTTAAAACAAACAACATAAATTAAGTTATATATAATAGTTAGCATATCTAAAAATACATAAACCAACTGTTTTATAAGGTTTTAACTAAATACTATAAAAGTTTTATATTACACAGCTAGTGATTATATATTTTTAAATAAAACCTACCATTAATCGAAGTAAAGTCCAGACAAGATTAGGATATTCTTGTGATGACTCTATGATATGGACTCCAGTTTGTTCGGGAGGGTTACTTATCGACCACATATCTCGAATCCTATTTTGAGCATATTCCTAAAAAACCATACATATATAGATTAAAAATAAAGAATTAGACAAACTACTTCTACTACTATTAGAGGTACTTAAACTACATAGAGACCTACATACCTCAGAAATTGTCCAGAAGCCCGTAGGTATAGGTGGTATTAGGTCTAGATTATCATAGTCTAATGTGACAAAGGAAAGGACATCCCCATGCACATTAATGAAGTAATGTTCCAAGTCAGCATTGTAGGGATATTGATCCAAAAAGGTCTCCAAACCACCGCCCCACTGTAATAACAAATATATATTTATACAAAAGTTATGAATTAACTATCAAATTAAACTATAATTTAGCTCACAGCCCTAATTAACATATAGGCAAAATTTTATGAATATTTAAAGTCAG